TACTCCTACTCCTACTCCTACTCCTACTCCTACTCCTACTCCTACTCCTACTCCTACACCTACTACTACTACTACTACTGCTGCTGCTGCTGCTGCTGCTGCTGCTGCTGCTGCTGCTACTACTGCTAATACTAGGACGACGACGACGACGACTATTACTACTGCTAACACTAACTGACACTGCTACCGCTGCTGCTACTGCTGCTGCTACCACCACTACCAGTCACTAGCAGTTACCAGTACCAGCACCAGCACCACTACTGAAATATACGCAATATGGTCTGCAGAGATGTAAACATGGGTGCCAGGAAGCATGCGGCTGGACAGGCAGCAGCCTCTGACTCATTGGCCTCACCAAATCGAGGCGAGAGCGCAGTCTGCGCAGCCATAGGAAAAATGATGCCTCTGCCAGGACCTGAAGCATCAACGAGTAGTTGCTTTATTCACAGTGCCATGTGGGGTTCTTTATGATGATAAGCCAGAATACACTATGACAACATGCGTTTAACTCAAGCTGATTTAAAAGTTCTAACTGAGGATTCTCAAAACCTCCAGTCAATGCTGTTCGTCTAAAAAGCTGAACATGGTCAGCCCGGATCATGCGCAGAACCCCCCCCACACCGAGCTGAAGGAGCTCGGAACATTTTTCCCCAGGCCAAGCCTTATAGATTAGCAGTGGCTTAGGTTTCTCGTGACACATCGCTTCGGCCCCAGCACTGTCTGTCGCACACTCGAAGACTCAGGCCGGGGCAATTAAAACCGTTGTGATCTCCACGATGCGCTCCAAAACAATCAGCGGGAACACGACGAACATCACCTGGTGAGTGCAACTCTGCCGGCAGACCAAAACTTGTCTGACGTGGTTGGAGCTTCTGCATGTCTGGCATGTCATGTAAGCGGCAACTTAATTGATCTCTGAATTCCGAGGAGCTGGAATCAACAATGCCAGTGCCACCACCCTTGCGGACCTTGACAATGACTACGACGCCGTGCTGGTGTGAGCTCTGAAACTGTGCCACCAAGAGGCACGACAGATGGCACCACATCCCAGCTGGAGCGATACAGAGAATCCAGGAAGGACATAAGCGCCCCGTACATCATGTGAGGATGCAGCTCCTGAGAGTCTGCAAGCTTGAGCTTGCCACATCCCAGCTTCCCCTGTAGCAATGGGCCAACCAGACCAAGCGAAACGATTCTGCAGCAAACCCGCATTAAATGCGGCAAGCGCTCATCGAAATCCATGGAGGGTGAGCGGCGGAGCGACCTCGAGCTCGAGCTTGTCTTCCTGGCATCGGTGTTCCGACCAGCCCTGGCCCAAGACCCAATCGGTTTTCACACTCTGCCCCTGAATCCGTAGGTAGGGCCAGCACTTGGGAGACATAGAGGAAGCCATCGCCGCGTCATTGATGCCTGTTTGCTGCCATCTGGGTCTGCCAGTGTCTGTGACGCTTATTCGGTGTCGTAATTATGAGCACAGAGGCAGTTGATCCCAAAGAGGAACAAGGCACAAACAGCAGTTCGGCTCTCTGGCAACGAGTTCTTCAATAAGTCTCAAGCAATGCCCATGCAATGCGGATCAGGCACGTGCCATCCCTGGTCTAGAGCCCCGTGCCAACCAGCGGCAGGCGATTTCGGAGGCTTTCCATGGCTTCAGGCAGCTGAGCTTCTGACACACTGCCACCGCACTATGCAGATTGATGATTTCATGTTGGGCTCATCAAGCCACGGTATCCGCAACAAATCCCCTGATGTAGGGTGGAGTTGCGCAAGTTGGCGAGGCATGTTTTCAGCAGTCGGGACTCATACTGTGAATGCCTGTGATGGAACCTAGCAGCAGAGCCATGCATGATACAATACAAGATCAAGCCTTCTAGTAGCAGTAATTAGCAAGTAACAAACCTGCTATGCCCATGACGATCCAATCGGCGAAACAATCGAATCCCGACGACTCGGCGAACTGACGACTTGCTTCACTAGCCGACCTTGAGTCGTAACGGCCACGGTAAGTAGCGATTCTGCAGCAAACCCATGGATCTGCATTGGGGGTAGAGGTACACGTCTGTAACCACCTGTTGAATCTGTTCACAGTTGCATTGAGACGTCGAACGGACCTGTGGGCTCGTGTCAGCTCAGCTTGCATGGTTGTAACCTGTCAAAAAGCTTCCACCGCCTTGGGTGACAAGCGATAGCGAACTGCGCGGCGGCGAGATGTGCAAAGCCTCACCATAGTCTCTGACTTTGAGTAGCAGTTACCTGAAGCCACATGAACAACTTGCAACCGTGTCCTTTCGTGAAGCGGGGAAACTGCGTGCTCTGGCAACACTGCCAAGGTAGGCGAGGCGCCCTGGCTGGAAAGTCTCCGCCTCATCAAAGATGGCCCACCAAGGTAGCAGCTCTGGCCTCGGATTGCCGCCGATGCCATTCTTCATGTCATTCAACGATGAAGAATGTGGCAGACTAGTTTGAGATCTCTATACTCAAGCCTCCAGCATGCCTTGTTCTGAGTCTTCGTGCTGGCTGCTGACAGCCGCCAAATCCACCTGCTGGGCATAGATTTTCGCACTCACTATCATGAGCGCCGAAATCGCTAGCTGAGCACTGAGCACTTGCAGCACCCGGCTATGAGGGCGTTTGCCTTCCTGAAGCGGCTGCCAAGCCTGGCCTGGACTCCGATGGCCATCAGCGCTCGCGCCACAGCTGCTCGGCGTCCACGCGGTCTTCGCGTGTAGAGCCGAACGGACTGGGCAGGAGCAATCAAAAGCTCTGATGCCCAGATTCTCCAGCAAGCGCTATGTTTTCAATAATTATCTTCCATATTCTCCCATCATGCCTCAGTGCTGGAATCGAGCATGTTACAATGCGCTACAAACACTTCTCAAACCTTTGCACGAGCACACACCAGGCATCCAGTAGCCAAGTTCCACACGATGTCTGCAGCTGTTACCTTGCATGCTTCGAGCGCTGCAGTTGCTGCGTGAAGGCTGAGAGTACCCTTCTCTGAAAGCTAGCATCTCAATTCCGGCTTCAGGTCGACTCGTCAGCTGCATGCGCGGTGCTCTAGCAGGGCTGGAGCAATCGTCAAGGTCTGCGCAGTCACCTTGCAGGATACCGTAGCACAATGATGCGTGATTGTGGTCATCATGAGGTGTCGGTGGACCTGCACTGATTAGGCCTGAGAGGCGACATGCCTACAACAAGCTGATGCAAGCTTCAAGGTACACCTCCATGATCTTCCATGCATGTGTCCATGATTCCAGTACTGCCACGGTCAATCTGACACGCCATGCAAACGGCAGCAGAGCTGGCACTGCTACAGGTTTCAGACTTCGGGGATGAGGGCAGCAGCAAGCACTCTCAACATACGGGTACGTGGTCTCCGCAAGCTCATCTGGCCGAGGGTGTTGTGTGAAGCTGTCAACGCAGCTTCTTTAAGGGAGAAGTTTTATCCATGTACCGAATGCAAAAAAACGCAAGAGTCACGATACAAACCGCGAATGACACGGCAACGCACAGAACCACAAAGCTTACAGTAGCACAAAAGCGAAGGCGGCCTCTTACGACCACGACCTTTCGTGCTGTCTGTCAACACTGTACGGCAACTTCGCCTGGGCCTTTGGAAGCATCGACGAAGTCTGCCAATGGAATCCTCAAATCAGTCTCGAAAAACTTGGTTTGATCTGCCGCGGAAACAGCAGCCTGCGGGCCAGGCATGCCTGCAAACTGATCCCCGGGACCCTTCGAGGAATTGCACTGCCACCACGCACCTCGGCTGGGCTGAATCATTACATACAGCTACAGAAAATGGCCATCGTGCGCGGTATGAGTGAAGAATCATCTCCAGCGATTCTACGACACACAAGGCTGCCAAGTCGCGGAGGTAGCTGCTCGGCGCCCTCTCCGAATATTGACAGCTCTGCACCATCCTCGCAGGCGGTGAGCAGGAATTGGCCCACATACCTCACGTACACACACGCACACAAGAATGGCCTGCAGGTGTGCTTGGGCCACATGTCACAGCTTAGAAGGCACCAGGCGTCCGAAGAAGGGTGCCTTCTTGATACATCCCACACCCAATAGAACCAGGACGACTTAACCCTGTGTGACAACCAAAACGCATGCAACCAGCAGGGCGTGCATGGGATATCTGGTCAAAAAGACTGGGAATCTGGCAATGCATGCCAGCAAGTGCCTGGGCATGTTTGGAGCTTGCAGTCCATGGTAACGCGATGGGCAAATTAAGCTCAACAAAGCACACTATCACGTGAACTGCCCGCAAAACCGCAGCTTTCTGGATTTCGTGATGCTGAGCGGCCATCTGCGATTCGCCGCCACAGCTGATCCTGCGCCATTGGGCAGCAATGAGTATGGGAGAACCCAGCAGCCAGAATTAGGAAGCTCAGTGCAGAAAATATCGTGTCTACGTGGACACATGCATGCATGGGAGAACTTCTCAGTTCGAATCGGATGCCTTCTCCCGGGCGAGTGTGCGAAATCCCGAGAACATGTCTTGCGGAACGAAGTAATGAACTAAATCAACAAACTAGGCGCTGCAGTCAGCCTTGTCTTGTCTTACAACTCCCCAAAAACCACGAAAACTTGCCGCGCCCCAGGTTTCAGGGGCAGCAATGACAGCTCGGAGGATGCCATGGGACTGGACAAGGAGGCATTCTTTGCAAACCCACTTGTGGCTCTCGGTATGGCTGTCGGCTGTGGGATTCAAGGTGAGGCAGCTGTGCAAAAAAACGAAGTATTCGCCTCTATAGTCTCTACATATCTCGCAGGCCAAAAACTGCTTTTCAGGCTATCTCTGAAGTAGCAATACCGAATTGGCTCAGCTTCTCTTGATCCGCGGTCTGCACGTGTGCAAGGTTGTGGTGCACAAACGAGGAAGCATGCTGAGTATCTCTGCCAAACCGAGCCCTCCAAAGCATTCAAGATGACAAACGTGGCGAGCTGTAAGAGGCAGGCCAGCGGCCAAATTCCATCCTGCAAAGGGAGCGACAACTGCTACCCCTCGAATCTGTGCAGCAAAGAGAGGTCTTCAACCTGTTATGAAATAACCCCACTTTCGCTGGCCTACCGAAAACAATGACAAGCAGCTGTTCCAGCACAAGCTTTTCGTTTCCATCGATTTCTAACCTGTTGTGAAACAAGGCCTCGTCGTCCTGATCATCTTCCGTACACTCCAGTGCCTCAGCATCGTGAACAACCCCTATGCTGACAGTAAACTCCGATCATCATGAACTCTGAATCTCTGAATGCCTCTGGAGCAAAAACTTAAAGGTTCATGACAGAATGCACTACAAGAAGAACCGCAACGATCATCTCTTCCCGGATCCATTCAATGAGCAGAACACTAAGGCTCAGGCTGTCCGCAAAAGATGTGGTGGCTCCACGAGTTTGTGCACCTTGCTGTTGTGTTCTTTAACACAGGAAGCTCTCAAATGATTGGGACTGTTCTCTACGGTGGTGCTACTATTTCGTTTACTGATGTAGGGGCTCAAACGTAGCAATCGTGACAGGGTTTGCCAGAGTCAGGCCTCAAGGGTTCACGTGTGCCAACTGATCCAACTCTAACCAACGGCGGGATACGCAGAGTGGTGGTGCGATCATCTTGCCTGTGCTGCTTTTTTCTGTTGTATTTGTTCGGTTCCAGTGTAGCCTGTTCTGCCCTGTTTACCCCTGTTCCAATTACATTCTGCTGTGTTATATCTAACTATATTACATTGTATAGCCGTTATACTGTACTATATTGGGTCATACTGCGCTATACCAGATGTCATGTTATTTGTGCCCTCATAAACTCAATCAGCATGACACGGCACAATGTGATCTGACATAACGTGGTGCTTTATGTTACGATATCACCTGTATGATCTTATATGATGCTTTGCGATACCGTCTGATATGATATGATAAGATATCAAGGTATGATATTGCATGTGACATTCATCTTATTGAAGCATGCTTAGCGAAAAGTCAGCGAAGGGGGTTGGGAAAGGGCGTAATTACGAGCATAACGAATACAGCGCCGTGTGAAGCTTGAGAAGCAGCAAACAAAGAAACCACCAAGACCACAACAGAACTTATCAAAATCAGGGCCAAAGACACAAGCAAAACAAGAAGCTCAAGAAACCAAAATATCATGGAGCCCCTGCTCGAAGGCCATGCGAGCCAAAATACTGCGAAGCAAGCGAGACTAGAAGCACAAACGAAACCACCGCCAAAATGTAGAAACGCCAAACGGCCACGAATCCTAGCAACAAAAAGCGATGGAAACGTTCCAAAGCTGGTAAGCAAATGCAAGCAAGCTACCGAATAATGTAAGCCAAAACATACTAAGCTATTCGACAGTGACGCAGCATCCTTCTGCCCTCCTTTAAAATATAAAGTGCAGAACTTTCAATGCATCGACCAACAAACAATTGCAGAAAACACGTAGACGCCTGAGTCGGTAAGGGCATGGGCTAGGATATAAGGAGACATGCTGTCCGAACTCAGGGATATGGAAGGAGGGGGGGGGGGGGGCGAAAAGTGCGGAAAAACATCTCTCCTATTCTGAGAGGCTTTCGGTTGTAGCACTCTGGAAAATTTGTTCGCCGCTCACTCTCTAAAACTAGGATAAAACCGCGATGGGGGCTAGACTCTAACATTGAACCACACTAAGCTCAACAAGCCTGGGATCCTGCCGAACTCCAGAACTTGAGCCGAGGCATCGAGGCCCCGGCCGGAGATGATGCACTGACCTGGCAAGTGCGAAGCTGCACACCCCGCCAATCCAAGTCCTGCTGCATCAAGACTATCTTTTCCCCGCTTGGCTTCTACGGCTTGCGCAACCATGTGGAAACAATCTGCACCTCACGAATCTAGCCGACGAATGAAACAACAAACACATACGCAAACCGAGCACCTCGACAGTCGCAGGTTCATGTCCGCCCGCGACACCAGCATTGAGCAAATCTACGCCTAAGGGATGTTCCCGGGGAATCTCGGCTCAGTGTCAAAGCTTCGCAACAAACATCGTTCGGTCGAAATGGCCAGCAGTGGGCAGAAAACCTTTGTGAGCTTGAAAATAATTGGCAGCTTCTTGTGGTAGCATTTTTGCAAAAACACAACTCTCAGCTCCGAGCCAAGTCCAAGCGGAGTTTGTTTGACCCGCGTGGGTCCTTGACAGAACCCGTTGGATTCAGGATGCAAGCAAGCTTTAAAACACACAGGCGTGTCAAGGTGAAGTGGGGAAGGTTCCAAACACAAAACAGCCATTACAGAAACAATCAGCGGGCCTTGCCTGCAGTCTGGCTTACGGCGGTCCTTTAGGTTTGGGCCTTTGCCGGAAATGTTGGATCATCACTGGCTTGCCAAGTTCTGGCAGGATGAAGTTTTCTGGGGGCAACAACAACACAATGAACTTCCGCAAAACATCATCCGGCACTCACCATTTTGTAGCCGTCCTCCCCCCCCCCCCCCCCCCCCCGCGGCACCAACCCATCCGTGCTCAAAGCCGGGAGCCTGCCGAACTCGCAAACGGCATCACGCATATCAACGGACAACACCCGAGCCACCCCGGTCAAAAACACTACAGGCCCCGGCTTGGAATGGTGTACCCTGGATTGGACGACGACATAGCATTCGCACCAGCAGCCACGCCTCAGCAGTCTTTTGGGGGGGCCGTCATTGTGGTGTACCACTCTGCCATCTGACGGCGCACCTGTCGTCGGCCATTGCAACGGCATGCCGGCGAGGTCGGCGCCATATGCCTGCAATCGATGTAGCGGTTCATTGCTGCCTGCATCCGTTCCTTTCGATTCGGGTCGAAGCACACTGTATGTTTCGCGAGCCATTCCATATCACTCCTGTCCAATATTATTGTGCTGCATTTCCCTTAATCTGACGAGGTCCATCGCGCCCAATGCCATGCCAGGCATGCCGGTGTGGAAGATCTTGGCAGGCAAATGAAGCTTGGTACAGGTTGTGCACATAGCTCCGTCAGCCAATTCTTGCTACTGAAACAATACGCAGATCCAGCGTCTTCGGTCTCGAGCTGGCCAGACTGTGCCCGCAATAGCCTTGCTCCTGTGCAGTCTCAGTGAATGCGGCTCCGAGCTCACAGCATGTTCGTAGTTCCTTTTCTTGGCAGGGCCTTGCGGCGAGAAAGGAAACAAATCTTTCTGGGTGGTGCATGTGGAATGCAATGCGGCATCACCGGCCGTGAAGCCATGATCGTGATGTGACACATGCTTTAATCAGGTGTTCCTTTTTTCAGTTCCCGTTAAATCAGCACAGCATTGTGAATGTTTTGGTGTTTGTTTCTTTGTGCGTAGTCTTCAGGACTACAGGTCATATTCAGATTAGGATGCGTGGTCCAGGGCTCTGCCGAAAAACAGCGCTGGGCATGGCATGCTGCTCTATTTACTAGTAACTAGTACTTGGTACTAGGCAATAGGTACTAGGTACTGGGTACTAAGTACTAGTACCAGCACGAATTCGACTAGTACTACTAGTCGGAATACTAGTGATACTAGCACTACTGCTATTACTACCACCACCACCACCACGACGACGACTACTACTACTACCACTGCCATTACAGTGTGCCGGGAGTTTGGAACAATTATTTGGGCAAGATTGCCACGCAATCTTGCAATCTTGGTCTCTCCGTCTAAGTTACGTTTCAGGCCAAGACTGCGACCAAGATTTCCAAGCAATCTTGGTCTCCCAAACGTAAACTGGTCGGCGAGAAAGTGGGGCAAGATTGCAAGCAAGCCTGCAATCTTGGTCTCCAAAATGTAAACTAGTCGGCGAGCAAGTGGGGCAGAGGCAAGATGACCAAGATTGCTTGGCAATCTTGCTCCCCCCCAAGATTGCCAAGACGGTTCCGCAAACTAATTGTTCTAAATTCCCGGCACAATGTACTATGACTTCTACAAAACAGTACACCGTGAGAGTGCGCTGTTCGCGTATTTTACGCGCTCCTAGACACACCAAACACGGCTAGGAATCACAAAAAACCATATCGAAAGATGGCTAACGAAACAGAACTGTACAGCCCTTGCAGCTGCCCACAACAAACAGCTAAATGCATTCGGACAAAAAACCAAAAAGAGAAAAGACACAAAGAAACCAACAAAAACAATTCCGTGAGACTCCTAGATTTGGCGATCTGTGGCCGGAGAGTCCCCTATTCTATTTATTTTTTGGGGGGTTTTGGTTCTCTTGCCCTGTCCCTGGTTGCTTTGTTGGTTTTGTTGGCAAGTTTGCTGCATGCTGCAATATCGGCAGCACTAGTCTATTGGTATAAACCCTTAGCCTTAGCTGTTCCTAACACATGTAGATCTGTTAAAACACAAAACGACATAATGGTGCAAACATGTGCATATATATATATATATAGAGAGAGAGAGAGTGTAACGCAATGCAGGGTCGTGTTTTTCGAGTAAAACACGTGATGTTTTAAGCTCGATCCAAGATAAGGACATGATATCAAGAAACTGAAATTAGGTGGTATTTGGTTCTCAAGAACGAAAAATGAGTTGGATCGATATTGACCATCCATCAAAACATTGCACGTTTTTTGCCCAACTGCAACATCAAATTGATTTCCGATGGATATGGACCCACAACATCATTACAGTGATTCTAGCTGCATACTATGCCACAACCGGACGGCATTGGCACGCAACAACGAACGAATTGGGATGGCAATGGTTCTGTAGCTACAGCAGCTTGAACATGGATAGGTCACGACCCCCAATAATATTGAATTGATCTTGGCATGAGCTGCCAAAAAGGAAATTCGGATGGGCATTGACAAGAAGACAAGAACGAATTGAAGTTGGATGGGTATTCCGCCACGACATAGAAAACGGAGTTTGGATCGGTTGTGACCCTCAGCACCAGTTAGTTTTATGTCGATGAGTAGTGATCTAAAAAGAACAACAAACTATACGATAGTGATCCACAAGAATGATAAACTATATTTAGACGGCAACAAAGCTGGATGTGAATGGGCATTAGCATCCAATAGCAGATCATAGGATTTATTACTTGTCGAGCCTCACAAACACAAATACTAATAATTACTAATATAGATGGGTAATGGCCCATAGCCAACAAAACATAAAGTAGATAGGTGACGACCCAAATAAGTTCAGTCAATTAAGAAAGCTGTTGACCCCCCAACATCAAGCTAGCTTCACGGCAAGGTTGAGGAGCAGAGCCACGGTAAGCAAGAATCGGAGGCAGAGTATGTGGTCAGTTCCGTCTCAGAAATTCGTTTCCACGGATCAACATTACCATGCCCTCCACCGCACAAGCATGGCAAGAGCTAGCACCTCCCGTTGCGTAGCATTCTCAACAGGTGCCTCTTCTTCCACAAAGCCCCTTCCTCCGAGGGTTTCCGGCTGCACCTTGTCCTGGCGCAGAATGTTAACTAGGCGACTCTTGAGCGCGCAAGAGGCCTTGTGCCCTAACATAACTTCATGTGCAACCTGAGTCGCAGCAATTATGTCGCAGTACCCTGCTCGTCTCTGGCTGCCGGACCCATTCTCCGAGAAGGTCAGTGAGTATCCGACGCACCTGCACTCTAAATTCCATACCAGGAAGACACTGCTCGCATCATTGCTTTGCTGTTGCCTGATTTTCGTCATCGACGGTATTGATCGACCTAGGCAGGCGATCAACTTAGTCTCACAAAAAAGGTCGATTTCCCTCTGCTGTGATGCGGTCATGCCAGGGCAGATGGGGCATTCAACTATCATGCACCTTCGTTTTTGGTTACCGTTCCGGTAGTGGTCCAAGCGAGGGCTCTGTAATTCCGTATTGGCCACCTGAGTGACAGCTTAACTCCACGCACATGTCTGCACGACTTGGAGGCAGACGCCTGGGCTGAAGGCTTCTCAGCCTCGTAGGATGCGTGTGGGATCCCGTGCTGCGAGGGGACGCTCAGCACAACACTCTTACAGGAAATTATGTCACGTGCTGCTAGCACTGCTTGCGTTGAGCTCTTTGGTGGTCTTCGGTGCAGATCCTGAGCTCGATGCCGCATTTGTCGATGGCTGTATGCTTCGCTTGCTCTGCGTCTTCGAGGACCGGCTGCGGTTCGATAATGCCTTGGTGAACTGCAGTCTGCAGGCAGCCACTGCCTCTGATTGATGCGCTCGTTGAGTCTGCATGTCTTTGCCCAGAAACATCGGCACGTCATGATCTGGCAGCGTCATGCAAAGGCCGAGGCATGCAGCTGTCGGAGTGTGATCTGGTCCACACCTGCAAACGTAACTATGTAGGGTGGGCATGTTCGCAATTCTGTGCTTGTTTTGGGATCCTCAAGAATAAGGAGTCTACTTCAATCCATTCAAAGCTGGAGTTGTTCACGTTGTAAAGCTTTCGTAGAAACTTGCAGGGTTCGCTCGTCAGGGGGAATTTTGATTCGGGGTGAGCAGTCGTCGATTTGGGGCCTGAGAGGGGGGAGGGGGTCGAAACGCAAACTGAAAACTTGCTGGCTTACGTCGTGCCACTGACTTGGGGCGGAAGCTCATGAGTATTGCGTATTTGAAAGGAAATTTTATGGTGTTTTACATTCATTGTTCGAAACACAGCCTCAGAAAACGGGTGAGTCGAAGAGGCTTTCATGTCGAGTAGGGCCAGGACTATCTAGCATAGTAATTAGGTGGTGGAAAGCATGCACCCCTCTCTGTCTCCCCTTCACTCTCACGGATAACCATATGTCATGTAATCAGGCTCACTATGCTTCCTGCCCCCCAGAACTGCCTTGAAGGCTTTAAGGTGAGACGTTCCTGTTGAAGTTGCCCGGGACCTACAGGTTGACTCTACTTCTATCTGCTTGGTACACCCTTTTTGTTATGGCCTATGAGTTCGACTGCTCAGTACTTGCTTGAACAATACAGATATAGGTTATAGATGAAGACGCGTTCACTCCCTGCTGTGCGAATAACCTGGCATGGGAGTTCAAAGTTACAATGTGTTGCAACTCATTGCGCTTACATGCAGGAGGCGGTTGAAGGCAACCTCCACACGACAAAGCTCTCTGAGATCCGGACTCCAATCTTGGTCAGTGGGGTCCAAGATGCGGTTCACCTCCTAAGCCGTTGAGATCACTTGCATGACAGGCGTCAAGTTCCAAGCATCCTTCGACAGCAATGCCCAAACTCAACATTGCAGAAAATAAGCTCATGGTAGAAAGATCTGTGCGCAGTCCTCTACCTCGGCAGTTTTGGCCATCACCCAAGACTGCCTAGCAGCATCGGGCTGCAACTACGGCAAACAGCAGGATGAGGAATCGCAGAAAGCTGAATGAGAATTCTTCAGCTGTGGAGGCGTTCAACATGCGGGGCGGCGGGACGCACGATAGAACCACATCCTGCCTGGATATATCGCAAACTAACTCGCAGACGGGAGCTCATTTGCCACGTTCTTGATTAATCTTAATTAGAAAGAAGCAGAACTCTTACTTATGAAGAAGCGCAACATAGGCAGCATAGGGGTGACCGGACGCGCCGGTGCTTGTTGACACATCAGCTGCACATCTGTGTACTTTCAAACTTAGTATCTCTTGTAGGGCTTCACTGCCTGCAATTCCTCCAGAGCAAAACCTCGTGAAGCTCCTGACAAACCTAAATGGCACAAGTAGCCTGGACTAAGGACTATCATCGCTCGGGCATGGAGGTTGAGGCCAATAAGCTGGTAGCATGATGTTTTCGCTGTTCGGGCAAGGAGCTCTGGCCTGATGCACTGGTACAATGGCGTAGACATGCTCACTAGGGTGACAAGCTGCTTCGCGTCGGGCAATGTGCACGCCTCTCGTGGCGAATCCGCCACCGAGCGCACACCGGTACCGCCAGGTGTCGGGGGGGGGGGGGGGGGGCGGGGCTATGCCAGGAATTGAGCAAGATGTCGGTCAAAAGACTGTGAGTGCGCAGGCATGTGCGGCCGGCCGGCCTGCTTGGCCTGCTTGCACGCTTGACAACTTGGAACGAAACAAGAACAAATCATACGAGCAACACGAACACCCGAGGAAAATTCCAGCATTTCCAGCATAAGCGCGGACAAAAACGCACAAGGGCGAAACAACGCGAACACGAAGGCCAGACCCCGCCAAAAGATGCCAAAAGACCAAACATGTCAAAACAAAAGGGAAACTGCATATCTCAACTCAAGAGAAAGAAGCATCGACACCCCAAAACTGGGGAATCAGTGGTCCTTGGTCTGCCGCCTGGCTAAAACAACCTTGGCGTAGCTCCGCAGTTGCGTATCTAATGTGCCACGTGTCACACTCTGCGACCTAATGGCCGATGTCATGCAGGCATGACACAGGTAGCTGCTTTGCTCAGTTCTGCTCGTTACGTGCGGTTGCTGTTCTGTGTCCATCTCTTCCTTCGCATCTGATTCCTGCCGCTGATGTGTGCAACTGTGCACCGTGTTCGGGTTATGCCCAGGTTTTTCGGGCTCGGTTCCCGTATGGTTCCAGTCAGGAAGTCGTCTGATGTCCGCGTGGCTAGTCCCGAAATTCCACACTGGCATGTGTTCCCTTTCGTGCGGAATGCGTTGTCCTGTCGCCAGTGCCAATACGAAGAATCCGTGCGGTCGCGCCACTCGGAGAGCCGGATTCACTGTACATTCCACAACATGCGGCAATGCCTGGCCTCGAAAAACCTTGAATCGCGCTAGTACCTGGAGAAAGGCCATCATACCGTCCTCCTGAATCCGGCGAGTAGATGGGCGAAAGTATAAGCGGCGCGCTTCTGGAAATAATTTTGGCCGCTGTCCACAATCTGCCAGTGCTGGGTCGGCATTCTGGCCAATCTCCCAAATTCCTGGAATCCTGAATCCCGCCAGCACTTTGTGGAAAGCATCTTGGCCGGTCCTGAATGCTACCCACGGATTTGGGGGAAGCAGTTGAGGCTTGGTTGTGAACCCCGCTAATGCTTGGGGGAAGTCTGGTGGCCGTGCTTGCACGACACTTTTGGAGAGCAACGTGCAAGATTCCATGTTTGCTGATGGTACTGTCCCCAAAACTTGCTAAATGCACGCCTGTTATTGCTTCTGTGTAAGGAAGCTTGAATACCGCATTAATCTAGTTTCTAACATGCCGGACAGGAACCTTGACCGTTCAATGTGAACCTCGACATGGGGCTGAGACAGTTCAATAACTGTCCACTAGTATGCTCCATTTGTTGACAAGGAACTCAATCTCTGCCCTTACGGATAAATGCAAGAAAAAACTGTGTGATTAAACCCCCCCGCGAGGCAGAACTGCGTGCTTACGTACACAAACAGACATGGTAGGGGCGGTGCAAGACTTGGACTGGGGAAAAGCCTTTGCCATTTGCGTGCTGCACTATCCTCAAAACTGTGCGATCCGAGGTGCGTGGTGGCCACTGCCGAAGAAAGATCTTGGCCCTGTTCTGCCTGCGCACAACCACAATGCCACTGCGAGGCTGATGGCCTGCAGCGTCCTATGCCTATAATCCCGTCTTGCAAAATCCGACGCAATCAGTTCTTGATCCCATGTGCCAGCATGAGCCAGCACTTCCCGTCTGGGTGTGGAAGCTGTTGCCCTATCACCAGAATTCGGAATGCATGTAGAGACTTGCCGCTGTCCTAAGTTGGTGAGGTGCGTACGTCAAAGCAGGAAGCTGAAAGACCTACGAAGACGCTACATCGTCTGGTGGCGCGGTGCAGATCTTCCTGTGCATGTCTTGGATGGATTCAGCCAAATCCCCTCCGACATTAGGATCTCCCAAACATGCTGATTCGATATGCATGCATGGCATAACAACCTGGCAACTACTTCTCCCGTGGGCGGCATGCATTTTGAACAAAGCTACGAAGTAGAATCATTTGGCATGCGCAGGTTCACGAAACTTGATTGGGTGGTGCTTGTGCAGGCACCTGCAGGGAGCACAGCTAGCTTCACAGAACGAACATCCCAAACATGTCAACTGTCATAGTTCGCTTGTGCAGACGGAGAGATGTTGGACGCACCTTGTCGAGCTTGAAACTCACCGAAGAGACCCAGCCTCAAAATAATCAATCTCATGGTGCAAGCAGAGGGCATGACCACTGGTCTTGTGCGCCTGTACAGTGCATAGTCTGCGCTGATGCAGCGGTGTAGGCATCGAGAACATCGCGGATAAAGGTAAGCATCTGCAGGACCCACTGACACGACATACTTGTAACGTAGCTGACGTAGCTGATGCGTGCCGGGACAGGGAGAACGCTTCTAGCAGAAGCCGAATGCAACAAAAACGACACTGCAATGACCTCGAACCTCACAATCTCAGTTAATCTCAGTCAACCTTCCAACTAATTAACCAACAAACCAACCAACCAAACCAAACTCGACCAAACCCGACCGACCGACCCACCAACCCACCAACCCGCCACCCCTCCACCCACCCACCCAACCAACCACCCACCAACGAACCAACCTTTCGATCGTCCCCGAATATGCGGCACACACTATGTGAACGTATGGTTTGGCTCCTGAGCCTTCTGGCCAAGCTGGTCGCACAAATTCTCCCATTCACCTTCCTGTCAATGCGTCGGCTCTTGCAGAAGGACGAGCTGATTGGTTGACTTTGCTTGTGGTGGCCATGTCGTCTCGCGGTGTCATGCAGTGCAGCAAATCGAAAGGTGGGTCTGGGACGCATGAAAATTGCAGTACCGCTCACCGAGCTCAGTCTGTGCCTCTGCGGCCACTCCTCGCCGAAGTGTCTGAAATGTGCCCGGGAAAGGCTGGCGCCTGGCCTCCGAATGCCCGGAATTGCAGCAGGATATTATTAGCAGGATCGACTATCTGTCAGCCAGAGAGAGCCCGAGGCAGCATTCCTGTGGAGTAGACCTCGTGTAATGCACCAGCACGGCAGCATGCTTGAGATTTGGACTGCTTGACTTTGTTGCCAGCACGTGCGCGCCTTGCCCTCCCTCGCAACCGTGGATGTAAATGCAATGCTGGAATTGGAACTATCCCACATTACTCATTGCTGCTGGAAGGCACTTCCCTGCAGTGTGGCTGGCGATGCCCGGTAAGCTCCAAGCTAAAATGCTTCATAAATTAATTGTATCGGGAGCCGACTGCCATAGCCATAGAACACAAGCTGACAAGTGATGAGTTTTATGGAAGCGCCCCAACGTGAAGTTGATCACGTTGACGCGATGCACGCGCCCGCGCCCCCTCGGAAGAATCCAGAAGTGCAGCAGCCTGCCTTCCCTCCCAACATACACGCACACGGGGCGAAGGTGCAGAATCACACGTTATGTACGCTGCACACACCGTTTGTAGAGGATCTCCTTATTGCGTAGCAGGTAACCTGCTCCGAGCATTGCGCTCAGGCACACGCAAATATATGACAATATATGTGACTGAGAACCTCAAGCAGCTCGAAGCACCTGTGGCTGAGGTCCTTGGCTTAGCCTCTTGCCGTCGGAAGAATCGCAGGTGCGGATCATTATTCACACGTGCTGTTGGCCTGAGTCCTGTCTGTCTGTGTGCTTGCGAAAGTCGAAAAACCCAGATGCGATGTTGGTAGGGAGCACCAACCCCCCAGCTTAGACTAGGGGATCGCACAAACACAAACACACACACTCGCACAAATGGGCCGTCTCCGGGAAGCATTACCTCCACCACACCTTACCAGTACCCTTGCACTACAAGTGGTCCGCCATGTCTTCCGTTCCGGGGATGATGCTTCTAGCTTCGTAAAAGCTCTTAATCTGACACAGAAAGGCTGGTCCTCGGCAGGCCGAAAGAAACTGTCTGTAAACAACGACCACTAGCAACTTTTCGAAGAGGAAGCCGTGAACCGAGAACCCTCTGCATATATGGCGCGAGTGCGTGCAGGACAGGCCTTGCTGGTGCTGAACACCTCGCCAACTGGTTGAAAACCATTCGGGATATTAGAATTCTGCGTGACAGCCCGAGGCTTACTACGTAAAACTTCTTCCCTTATCGATTTCCTGTGGCACACCTAGCATGCTTTGGCTCTCCTGGCTTTTACTATACGATGTGCATCACGAAGCCCTCAAACCGAAGGGCTGAACTTCAAGCCCTTGGCCCTCATGCCAGGAGTTTGGCGACGCGACATAGCTGCGAGCCAAACAAGACTAGAGCGGAACAGTATCCATCTGTCTTGATACCCTGCTCCCCACGCCCAGCCTCTTGTGCATCTGGCTGGAAGAATGCAGCCTTCAGCGCCAGAACGAGACCTTTGTCACAGGCGTCATGGTGTCTCATGATCTCCTCACGCCTGTGGTCCGCCTTATCTTGCGAGTTCAAAGCCGATGATGGGAGCTGGGCTGGAGGGTGCCGCGCGTGTCAACATGGGAAGGATCTGACGGAGCTCGAGTCTAGAATTGCCGGGGCGTCACGAAGCACTACACTACCTCTACACTGGCCTGGAAGTCAGTTTGGGGGCAAGATGTGGTTCGCAGGGGCCTGGGTAGGTGACAGGGTGACGGGTAAGGTCGGCATATATCGCCTCTTTTGAAATTTGCAGCTCTGTTTTCGCGCGTTCGAACCCTAATCCTCCGCGTGATTCTTCATCATTAGGCCAAGCATCATCTTGACACGAATTCTCGGGTGGATTCCAGTAGAGTTGCAGCAAGCTCTCAATGCAGGATACACGGATGCAAGGGAAAAGCCGCGTGTTGGAGAAAATCCTTGCATCCCGAAACACGGCCGTGGGTTGCAGGAGACCGCATGAGAGAAGAGAGAACGCGTGTGGCAGAAGTCTCGGGAAGCCTTGTCTGCCGCGTGGCAGGCTCGCACGCTAACTCCGCACCAACCCACCGCCGCATCAACTAGCATCCCAGCTTTTATTTTGGACTCACGGGACAATCCTCGGTTTAGCATTCCCGTGTGTGCCTCCATCGGGTGTGCAGAGCTGATAGTTTGGTGAAGTTTTGGTGCTGCTTTACTGCACACTTTGCTGCTCTGATGCGATTGCCATTGCTTGAACGACAGGGGAGTCGCCTGACTGCCAAGCTGAGCCCTGCAGTGCGACGCTACTTCGAAGCTCCCAGCTTCCGGCACACAGCTTCATGCAAAACTACCTTGCCTGTTCTTGTAAGCCGAGCAAAGCATGCTTCTTTTGTTGCTGACACTTTTGCCTGTCAACTTCCACGCGTCACCTGTCCCTGACCCATGGTGGTCTGAATCTGCAGCGTCTTTCCTGCACGTTGCTTCTCCCCTCAGAGGGTCAACCGCCGACGCCAGCTGACAAACGCCCGTCATGGTAAGCGGCACTCGGGAACCACAGCGCAGTCTGCAGTGTTCGGTCCAACCATTACATTGAACAGCGGTGTCTACATTCCTACTTCGCAATGTCTTGCAGCATCCCCTTGGCACGAAGGGCAGCCTAGGCAGAGGTCAGGTCCCGACTTCGACCACATCTGTTAACGTGATTCTGCAGCTCCATGGGAAGCTGGGGCGCCTCTGGCAGGTAGCGTTTGTCTCTGCATGCGGAGGTCTCTTTGCGAAAGCAGCGAGCCCTGGATGTGGCGCACCTCCTCGTCTGGGCTCCAGCAGACCAACTGTGTAACGACTTCATCCTGGAGCACTTCCTGGCTAGCGCCGTGGAAGGTCAACCAGCACATGCTGAGTGTTCGGTCTGATTTCAATTAAGTCTCGACGAGTAGCATCAAAACAAATTTACGCAGGCAGTTGCACCTTGCATGCTGTCTGCAATAAAACAGCGGAACCCTTCAAGCTTCAGTTCTGGGCAAGTAGGGTGAGTTCCTATCACCAGCACTTGACACAACACCTGCTGTGCGACTCTGTGGAAGAAGCGGTGCCTCTTCTTGCAGTCCAAGCGAAGCAGCCTTTCTGCAGATTCCTAGCTCTACTGCTCCCACTCTGTATTTGCCTTTCTATGGAGCTCATGCTCTTGATTCCGCGAATCGCTGTTTTCTGCAAGCGGGCAGGGTGCATGGCTTTGCTGGTGGGACTACCGGCTAGCGACCCAACTTTCGAAACCTGAGATGACATGGCCTGCGACGCGGAGGCAAAAGAGTGTCATCTTGTGCAGCAGTGCAGCTCAGACTTTGACAGGGGTCGAAATTCGCGCGTGAACAGTCTCATGGGTGTCTGTCGATTCCACTTCCACAAGGGGTTTTTCAATGAACAGGACATGGCGAAGCCTTCGCAAATCTCCACTCGACCAGAGCCGCCAGCCTCAGCAAATGTCGCACTGCATTCACAGATTAACAAATGGAGTTGAACAAACACGCATCGATGCACTATCAACTGTCCACACGGCCACTGATACTGAGAAAAATGTCTAAAAACTGCCACAGCACTTCCTTGAATTCAAGTGTTTGCTTACCCGACCTTTTCGTAGTTTACAGTTTGCATATACAATTTCCAGCTTGCAGGAGGCGTTGTGCGAAGCTCAGCCGGTATCAGTGCCCGACGCTTGCAAGTCATCCTGCTGTCTCGAAATGCAAGGGGGCTTGAAGGGCCGAAAGCGGGCCGCAGATACGAGGGCGGCTTGGCATCGTCGAACCGCGCGGAAATTGCGGATTCACAAGCATGGGCACAGACTTTCGCCTCAAATGAACTACAGCTGAGTGGTCGTTCCCGTCTAAAACTCCAAGCATCTGAAGCAGCCGAAAATTTGCAATCTTGTCACTGCCTCGGAGGGCTCGTCGGGGCGACATCGCCTCACAGCGGCCTTCATGAAGGGATGCTGCAGATCTTGGGCTCAGTTTTGGAGATTGCTGTTCCTCTTCGTCCCCCTTGACTCGTGATCTTCGTGTTACAAAAGTCGAAAAAGCAATGCGTACAGAACACTGTATGCAGACTCGTGATAAAGCCACGGTTCAATCGCTTGTGCGCATGTTGATATAGTGCCCACGTGTTCCGTGCTCATCGAAGCATGTTAAAGCTGCCATCCTCAGATCACCCTCGATTCCGTGGCTTTCTACGAAGTTGCCTCGAGATGTCGTGCTAAACCATCTGTAGAGATCACAGGGCCGTCCTGGGCTTGGATTGAGGTTGGTTCGGATGTTTCCTCGAGCTTGCTATCAGGTTACTCCAAAAAACTGAAAACAAAGAACTGCTTAACTGAACCTGCAATCGCTGACGTCATGTTGTTCCAGTGTGACCATACCGTGCAACCGCCAGACTGCATGTGTCGACTCTCGGCAGAGATCGCGATTGACAGGTACCCGCATTTTTCAGCGTTTACGAAAGGCGCACCCTAGCCGGAATGCCACAGATCTCAATGGAACTGTTCCAACCCGCATATGTTCTCAGAAGAAGAGTCGGGACTCATGCACGGTCGTGGTCCTTATGCGTTTTGGCCGTTTTCGTTCAGAGCCGAGAAGCTCAAAGGAGCGTGATGTGGCACTACGCCTTTTTTACTGTATGCTGATATGTGGAAGGGACATTGCACAGAATCAGAATGAATCTCCGAACTGATACAAACGAATGCAGTCCAAATGTAGCAGGCGATGACTGTGAAGACATATTTCCAATTCCCTAAGCCACCAGGTTCACAAGCAACCAATAGCAGCGAGCTTCGACACCGCGCCCTGCAATTGAGGCCTGTGGCAGGTCGGTGACAGAAGCCGGCACGAGCTATGGCAGCAGCCCAAGAGCTATTGGCTTATTCGATGCCATGATCGCAAACAAAAACCCTCTGACTGCTCTTTCCGCAGGGGCACAAACAGCTGCCGCTTCTAACCACGCCCTGCCGGTCTCCGATCTTCCAGTGACTCTCTTCGTTGTCGATGTGTTTTAGTCTTAGCAGTCTGAGCAGTTTTAGCAGCCGGGCGCAGTTGCTTCTCAGAAACACTCCGACTGCTGCATTCCAGACGGTGGTTGGCCTCTTTGGGTACACTCGCCAGGTCAATCTCCTGCACATTTCACACCCGGAATCGCGTACCAGCAACCAAGCAATTTCATAACGTGTTCCAATCTGTCAGTGTGAGTGTGTGTTTGTTGGGGGTGGAGGGGGTGCTACATTGCAGCACTTGAAGAAATTCGATGCTAGACGCCGGGGCTGCTCGGCATGTCCCTGAATTTTTAACCGCCTGCCACCAGCGCACGGCATCTGGCGAAGCTTGCCTTGACCTCTCGAGATCTCTATACAAGAGCCTTTGCAGGACATCGGGCTGTCAAAGAACACTCTGCTCAACCTAGCGGCACTCAACTCGAGACTGAAAGCTTTCTTCAGGCCGCAGGCGAGACGGATGGTGCGGCGGCTGCAAGCGCGGCCTGCGAACTCTGTGTGACTACTTAAACCTTCCTTCGCATTCCGCAGCTGAACAACGCACAACGATTCTTGGCTCAGTGCAAGGGTGTCGCAAGGCAAGCCGGTATTCCCAGAGTGTGCCTCATGCTTCAGAACTACTGCCCGATGTGACTATGCTTCAGAACTACTGCCCGATGTGACTGCTATCAGAGCTGCATCTGCGCATGTCATGGCCCAGGGAAACGTCAGAAGGAGTGGGATACTTGAACACGACTTACGTGTAGAAGCCATGGCGGCTAGACAGCGACCATGTGGCTGGATGAGCATTGTTGCTGTCTCAAAAGCACAGATGGGAAACTTACGGCGACACTGGCCCACTCTCCGATGAGCGATCCAGCTTGGAGACTGTGGGCAGTGCTCGCGCTTGGAGTTCTGCTGCGCCTCAGTGCGATGTAGTGATCCGGCTAGCCGAAGCATTGCTAGGCTAATGCAACTTGCACCACCGTCTTCGGTTCAGCTGCTGCAAGACGTCCAAACAGCCCTGTGCCCCATTCCGCTACGTAAATGTCGAGACTCAAAGCTACGAGCCAGCAGTTCCAGAAACACAGGGCAGGCGGCGGGTGTTGGGGACCTGCTGTGGCTGTGTCAATGCTGACCCCCAGACATGTCTGAGGCATCGTCTCAGTGTGTGCGCGAGGACATCCCGTAGGGAGCGACTGTGCCTGGCAGTTCCGCCGACGCATTCGATTCGTTGGCCTATGGTCCCTGTCAGTGCCCCTGTCGACGCTGCAAATTCGCACCCTGCACACTATGTTGTTGGCCCAAGCATGCCAACTTAACAAGTATGCTGCGCAGTGTGAGTCCGTTGCCGGAGCTCCACTGGAGACAGCCGGACCTCTGCCGTGCTGTCAGATTTCTCAACTTCCGTCCAGCGGTTCGGAGTATTGGTCTAGCAGTCTAGCAGATTAGGCAATCAGGTCAAGGAAGACAGATGAAACGGTAAGAACCGGTTCCCGCTTTCTGAATGGTTTCAAGCGATACCTACACAACGTGATCGTGGGCGGCAGTTGCGATTCCGTCTCCTCTCGCAAGTCGCAGAAGCGGAACTTCGAGCTCGACATTCGGCCAGATGCGTTCAGTTACATCCACTTAGCCTCACTCCTAACCTCGATGTCACCAAGTGCCCGCAGCTCGGCGTCATGAGGACACTGAGTCAAGCAAACTTTAAAGGGACATGTTGAGACTACAAGGTCGTTCACACCTTGGACTGTCAAACGGTGGCCCGAAGCACCGCTCCGGTCAGGAGTTACGAATTCGGCACTGTGTGATGAACAAGGTTGAGGATGGCCCCCACCTTCCAATCAGTGTGCAAAAAGAGTAGGGAAGTCGCCACAGCAGGGGCTTGCAAGCAGCTTCTGCTCTGTGCCGGTCTCTGCCTGGTACCGAATCGGAGGGCCTACTACGTGCAGACATTGCCATCAGTACCGATGAGTTCTGATGGTTCATTACCACAGACACCCAGTACCACACATTTCGATACTTAATTGAGGCACCACACTGCAATCCTGGCACGAGCATGGGTGTCTTCATCGACAATCTGAATCTGCCAAGTGCGGGCCAGTTTGCCCCTACGAAATGGTGAGATTACCTCGCATGTGCAGGTGACGACCTTCGGTCTGTTGACCCCATCATGAACATTGCTACGTCCACGTTGGCTATGGCCTGGGCCCGCTCCTCGGCCATCTCTTCCAGATTCCGAAGCTGAGACATGCTAGCACACCGTCTTTGGATCCTGTACACGGAAACTCGGCTCTGTTCCAAAGCACTTTCGCACTGCATCACTCGGCTAGAGTGTTGGGCGCAACTGCACCACACGTCTGCCCATGATACCACGCAGTGTTTCTCTTCTGTAACGGGACACTCCAACCAAGCTGACGGACTATGCATCTGTGACTAACTGCAGCTGATACCACATCCCCTTGGATGCGAAGTCAGCAGGCAGAGTCATCTTGTCACCTCGAGATCCCCATCATTGGCCAAGAAACTAAACGGATGCGTTTGCATGTGCTCTGAGAACATGCCGACATGGCCACATCCGGAATCATGGGCACTGTTGCGCAGACCTCCGGGATGGAGTAGCCGTGAAGCTGTAGGTAGTCCTACAAGTTTGCACAGCGAGTCCAGAGCGACTGAGTTTCGTTTCAACTTTCAGTCATGTACGCCCGAGAGAGCATTCCCAACCACCCCTTCCGATATCGTAACCGTGTCAGGGACAAGGGAGCGCTCCATCCACTGGTCCATACGATATTCTGAGCGCCTTGAAGTCAAGTTCGCTTGAGGCAGGGCCCTCTACTGACGAAACAGGCATGGAGGGTGTGGAACGCCTCTGGGAGGCTCTTGAGGCGCTGAGGCCCCGGCCCTGTCGCGTCACCTTGGACCGCGGTGCTTCAAGGCTGGTCGCCCACTCTTGAAGCAGTGTCGAAGATGCAACGAAGCCGCTGAAGACTCGGGCGGCATGGAACTGCGACTCGTTCTGCGGCATCGGGAGGCTGTGATCTGCCAGAGCTTGGAGAAAGGCTATTCCTTGAATCACATTCAAGCAGTCGCGATTCGATGGCAATGCCCTGCTAAGAATACTGCCAAGGTTCTCTCATCAAGGTCGTCAGACATCCAGCTGATCTGTACGTCCTGCGGACTTGAAACTTAGTCAACAACACGACCACATCGACGCCTCGGAGAATCTGTCCTGCTCTGTCAAAATTCTTGGAGGCATCGCCTGGCCACTTTCATCCTTCTGCAGGGCAGCCTGACCTCTGATGTGCCATGCTCCGCGACCAGAGCATCCAGCAAGCCTAGGCCTGGAATCGAACATCGTTAATCGCAATAATGATTGTTGTTATTACTATAGCTAATATTGATCTTATTATCAATACTGCTGATATTGTCGTTAGTGTTTATTTAGAGCACTAATACAATTATTCTGACTACTGCTATTATGCGTACTATTCATGATACTAGTGATATTAACCGCATTATTCGTAATATTCTAACAGAATAATAGCAGCAGCAGGGCGAGCAGCAACTCTCTCTGACTCTCTATTTCTTCTCCTGGATCTGAGGGAAACTACATAAAACCCGCCGCCCGGTTCCGAGCAGTGTCTGCAGTGCTAGTATCTCAAGCGGTGTGCAACGTGCTGGGTCCCTCCGCACATCACGTCATCACGGAATTTTCACCACCCCACCCCCCCAGGCCTGTCATGTGCCAGCACGGTACGAGTAGAAGACTTGCAGCTCGCGGCCCGGGCCCAGAGCGAATGGACGACTCGCACAGTAACCTATTCAATTCTTTCCGCAGGGAAGAGTAGGATGTGGAACTTGCAGCTTTACAAAGAAGGCCAAAGGGCCCCCGCATAGGAGTATAGCAGCGGGGCGAGAGCCAATCAAAGCAAAATGCCTGCGACAATCAAAGAGTCACATCTAGTGCACACCATGTTTCTTCAGGGTTTCAGAAACACCGGGTTCGTAATGTATTCTGGGATCCGCAAGGCAAAAAATGCCTTGTCCACCCTCCCATACACCCCTCCCCCCGCCGGCAAGGCTTTCCCCAGCAGAAGGGACCTACCGGTTGCAGCACGATTGGGGCAGAAGGAAAACAAGCCTGGTTGTGTTCGTCCTCACATGTGCTCCCCCTGACAGTCGGGTTGGCGTTGCAATGTGTTGGTGTGCTTTCATGTCGTGTTTACTACGACCTTGCCTTCCTTGCGCGCCAGGCAAGTATCGGCGTGGGCTTGGTGCGCCATCTTTCTTCACACTATCCAAGGCTAATGTACTCATCGACGAGTCGCGGCCCCTCACTGCCTTCGTTCTCCCGCCCCCGACGGTTGCGGGTGCCAAGAGTTTCTGCCACGCACACCAACCAAGGCATTGACTCCCAAAGATAACTCGAAGCATCACCTATAGTCCTCTCTGTCTCTCTCTCTCGCTCCCTTCTCCTGCTCGTGCGACATATTCACGAGCAGATCACACATGCGGCAAATTTAGCCGGCAAAGCACAATACTAGATCAAGCGACGTCGGAAGAAAGGCAGAAACTTCACCATCCACTGGTGGGAGCGAGATTGCAGTTCAGGCTGCCTAAATCACTGCTCAACTTGACTCCACCAAGACTTGAGCCGATAGTGTCAGCCTGCGTTCCAGCAAGTTTCGCGAGTCTGGGTCCACTAATCTGGGTCGTGTCAAAGATGTGCGGGTGACATGAAGCTTGCGATCGCAGGGCGATGAAGTGGCGATGACCATCCGAACCAACAGTAACAATGCCGAGAAATGCAGGCGAGCAACAACACGAATGCAGCCCAGCCTGCCTCCCAACCCCCAGTTGTTGGACTTAAGCCTCAAGCGCCCATCTCATGACTCCACCACCCCATCACTCGCCCCATGTCGACAACATCCACAACAGTTCGATTTGCCGGGATGGCTGTTCCGCGCAGGTGGCAGCCTCGATGCTGCGAAGGGCCTCGCGTGCAGCTACGACGGCAACAAACTCTGAATGTGCCGTGGTTACGGCTCTGGTCACGGGGCAGTCGGAAACTGGTTGGGCTCCTTTAGTTGCATGTCCAAGTTCACAATGGCAAAGCCCTCATTAATCGACTGTGTTTTCACCTGTTTGAACACTACCGACAGATGGAGAGCATGAACAGCGAGGACCACTCTCCCACCACGAAGGATAGTCCAGTAGCCAGTCCTGCTCTGCGCATCGCTTCGCCGTTTCGCGAGCCAACGCGCTCGCATTCACCTCGTTTCGAATGCAGTGGAGGTGAAGCTTGTTCACGAATCTTTGTGGCGGCATGTAACATGAAGAATCTAGCAGCCAGCAGCATTCCTGGCCTGGACGGCATCTTCCAGAATTCCCATGCCTGAGGACATCAAGAGTGATTTATAGTGAGTTGGGCTTTGAACACTCTACACTCTAGCAAGCTAGCACTGCGGTGCCATGGGGCGGCTTTGGAACGCTCCGCTTCCGCCGGAAATCGCAGCGTGTCACCGAGGTCCCTTTTGCCCAAAGCCCCGGAACTCTGCAACCATGAAGCAGCATATGTGAATTGTGTAGTGTAGCCAGAACATAATGATGTGCCAGACCAGAAACCAGAGCTTGAATCGAGCAATCTGAGCTGCTCGCAAAGCTGTGCACCTTCTCGCGCGGTTGCGGCTGTGCGATCCTGAACACACTGCATCTGGTGTAGACAGCAACACATGGAGTTCACGGGTGCCACATGCAGATGCCTTCGATATCATCTCACAGGCTTGAAGGACCAAAGCGGGGTTTGTATACATGCGGCTGTGCGGCTGCATGTGTGCCGACCCGACCGGCTGCCAAAGCTGCTGCCAGGAGATTGCCTTATCGAGTTTTGAGCGAGCCAGCAACGACCATCCAAAAAGAGACTAGGTTCAGGTTCACTTCCGGTCCCGTCTGCCCCACTGTCTGCCCCCGCCTCCTGACAAGGAGCCTGCTGACCGACCTGCACCAAGCAGGTGCTGCAAATCGCAACTAGTGCAGCGAAAGTTTTTCAGGTTCGTCTGGGCGTGCACTTTTCTGCACGTTGCATGGCACCTGCAAATGCATGAACACACAGACAACAACAGTACGACCCTCCACGGTCACTGCGGGCCAGAGGCCAGAGAGAACGTAGTGACAACTGCTCTACATAAGGCATCATAGGGGTGGCCAGGCCGACCAGCCTTTCACAAGCTGGACGCTCACGGGCTGGCACGGAATCGGTGCATTCCCTGAGTCCCGCAGTCAAAGATGCCTCCACGGCTTGCATTCGCCACGAGCTGGTGGGCCAAAGCCTGGTCTCATACAGAATCACATGAAAATGAGTTCTCATTATGGAAGAACGAAGTACAAAGCTTGAAAGACTCCCAGGGACGGAATAGCCAGTACTTGCAAAACATGACCACCATAACCAGGCGTGATGACAAAACATGCTACAGATTCTGAGCCCAAAACACATGCGTCGTTGGCCGCTCGAGCCTACAGCGTTGCCATCCGCCGGCGATGGAAGCTAACATAGACGCTCCGCCAGCAGCGATGCATTGCAACAGTTAGGCCACCTACTTCTCGAAAATGCACCACATCTTCGCTTTGGTCAAAACTTGCCGCTCGGGCCACGGCGTCTGCATGTGCCCTTTGTCCAAAGACTCTGAACACCTCCTGGGCACTCTTTACGTGTGTGGGCACACTCTGCGTGACCAATCTACTTACATCATGCATGACTGGCATGACTCAGAACAAAGGAACGCGGACAACCAGTCTCTTGAATGCCGACGACTGCAGTTTCACGCAATGTGGCGGCTCCTCACCGGCGCCCGTGCCAGGCCTGGTCTCTGAATGATTTCATCTCTCGCCCAATCGTGTCTGGTGTTCTCATCTCAATGCTTCGAGCCTCTGCCCAAGAGCTTCCAGCCCAACGTCCTCCAAACAGCTCTTTAAAACAAGCTCGGCTGTATGATGTGTGGGCTTTTAGGTCTTCACCAAGGACTTGACGTTGAGCCTCCAAAATACAGCTGAGCCATACGGCCGAACTCACCTCCTAGATTCCCGTAGCTTGAATCGGCAGAGCTATCAGTGCCTGTGGCATTATGGCGAAGAAAAGCAGCGCCTGAGTGGGGCAACAGACCAGCGGGGAACGGCTGTATCTCTCCTGGTATGTGCTACTTGAACATCGCGTACCGATTATCAAGATTTGAAGAGGCACACCACCTCCCAAGAAGAACTGTGAATATGTTCAGACCCAACTTCCGAGACGGGGGCTGGCTGGGCACATGGCTACGACATGCCATGCTGGGGCAGTCATGAACGTCTGTAAGTGCAGCACTTCCTTTACCACAGCCTCAGGCAAGTGCCGACACGAGTTTGCTGGCGAATGTCCCAAAGCGCAGTAAGTCATCGAACACTTCTCGGAAGGGTGTAACCCTGCAGCGAGCAGTTGTCTTCAACTGCCAAGAGGATCGTACCACACTCGTTCGCCAACGTATTCTGCCATTCTGTTCACAATGCACAAGCCGGCTGCCATTTGCAGAGAGCAGTCTGAATGCCATGCCCTAGGGAAATGAATGCAAGGGGAATTGCTTGATACAAAACCTACGATACCTACGTAACTTCGGTCGCTTCGGCCTTGAGCTTCAAGGCTGAACAAGTGCTCTAAAGTCTCCAATCCAAGGATCTCTGAACTAAGTTTGAGCGACAGCCGGTTCGGCCAGCTTCCGTGCATATAGAGCTACAGTAGCTTGAAGGCGAGACGTCAGCAATCCGTAAAGCTGAGTGCCGGAGCATCTACAGCATACGCCGTAGCAGAGGCTGCGCTGGATGCCGAGGCGGCAAGTCCGGCCTTCGGATGCAGCAGAACTCGGCAGTGCATTGGCATCTTCCTGACGTTTTACGGCCTGTAGCTCCACCTTTTGCAAGACACGGCTGGCGCTCCGAGATGGGTTTGCCCTAAATGCATGGCAACCAAGACCTGGGAGTGCCAGAGAATGTGGATCCGAGCTTACATACGACATGGAGCTAGATGGCTCCCGCAACTCCCAGCCAGTGGAATGGGCGCGTCCAGAAATCGCTGGACTCTCCGGTCCCCAGCACCGGAAACAGTTGGGGCTTTGAGGAAGGATTCGTATAACGCTGGGGAACAGAATGCTGCAAGAGTCGCTCGCAAGCATGTGAAACATGTTGAATATCGAGGAGATGGCCGGTCGGCTGGAGCATATGTCTAAGCTTTCGCATGCCATGCTCCCCACATCACAAGCTGGATCAAGCTGCAAGCAGTGCTGGGCTTGGCATCTGTACAGCTTCCATTGGCCCGGCGCATGATCCACTCTCAGACGCCGCCTGTGAATCCATCGCCTGGCTTAAGTACTGAGAATGTTACCATTCCCGTGGCTATTACTTTTACTGTTGCTATCACTATCAACGTCACAGTCACTATAATATACTACTCCCATTACCAGTCCGACGACTCCTACTATGCTACTAATACTACTACTACTACTGCTACTACTACTACTACTACTACTCCTGCTGCTGCCGCTACTACTACAACCATTACCGCTACCCTACCACCACCACCACCACCACCACCACCACCACCACCACCACGACTACTACTAGTACTACTACTACTACTACTACTACTACTACTAGTACTAGTACTAGTAGTAGTACTAATACTAGTACTAGTACTAGTACTAGTACTAGTACTAGTACTAGTACTACTAGTAATATAGAGTAGTAGTACTAGTACTACGGCTGATGGACAAAATTCTGCATGACCCAAATATAGTATAGTACCATAAACCCCACACTTTAGGTATATAAGGTCATGCAGGATTTTGTCCATCAACAGTAGTACCACTACTACTACTACTACTACTACTACTACTAGTACGACTACTACTACCACTACCACTACCACTACCACTACTACTACTACTACTACTACTACTACTACTACTAGCTAGCTAGTACTAGTACTTTTTTTGGGGGGTTATGTTCGTTTGTTATTATAGGACCCTAGACATAAGATGTAGTAGCAGTGGCAGCAGCACTAACAGTAGCAGCTAGCAGTAGTTAATGGCAGGTGCACTTTGGGTTGCTGATATCATGGATCAAACACCCCATATAGATCCCTGCAGCAGCAAAATTTTAAGACGTTGACCTTAGGGGTTGATTGGCTTCATAACCGAGAGTGTGAGACTATAGGTCTATATACACCGCCTCTATAACTGTCGTATCATCACTATAGAGCAACACTATAGCTAGCAATGCATCGTATTCATCTTCATTTTCCCCACCTCGACATGCTACCAACTCCTCGAACCTGAAACCTATATCGGGACCCCTAGTGCAAACCCAGGAACCGAGGATGGTAGGGTTGCGGGTTGCTTTCGATCTGCAGAGAAAATAATCAGTTCTTTATGGGTTTCGGGGTGCATAATTACAGCGTATAATATTATTATACTGCTTATACGGCTTGGGGTTCAGGCTTTATTAATGTGCGAATTTGGTTCTGAAATCGTTGATCATGATCTCGGATCACGAATGGCAGAACTCTGCCGTATACAAGTAAGAACGATCTTACCCCAAAAAGCCCGAAACCCGTCGACTCAACCCTAAACCCCTAAACCCGAAACCCCTAAACCCGGAAAGCCCCCAAACCTTGAAGCCCGATAAGGATTATTATCGATAGGGGACACAGGGTGCAAGGCGATGGTTTCGAATTCGGAATTATAGTGTTTGGGGTCTAGGGGTTAAACACTACGATGCAGTGTGGCCGGTCCTGCCGGTGCAATATACGTGGGTTTAGGGTTTGGGGTTTAGGGTCTAGGGTCTATTTATATTAGGTGAATTCGACCGAGAAGCACTCCTGCCTGTTGCAAGCTCGTCGCGAACCCTTGGTACTCGGTGAGCTCCTGGTTGGCCTTGTTGTTGGCCTGTGAAAGGCTTGAAGGTATACGGGTGGTCATGTAATATACGATCCAAGGTTACTACAATTCGTGACGCTCCACTGACCTCCTTGGCTTGCTGCAGAATTGTCTTCGGCTTCTTGTCCTTGTTCGGCTTCGGCGGCTTGGGGGTCGTGCCGGTGGAGGTGTGCTGCTCGTTCAGCAATTTCTCCCTTAGAGAGCATACGAGTACTAACAAAGTAGCACATCCCGTACATGCACATATATATTGCAAGCTGAGAATCATCGCTTCAAAAGCCTCGCTCTCCTGGAGTTCGGCTTCCATTGCAACCTCCGCTGAAGTCTCCTGCCTCTTACCATGCCGTTCACTGGTCGCAGCGTAGTTCTTGTAGCGGTACAGATCCTGATCATATATTTGGTGTGATGCGGGGAAGTGTGACGGGACACTCTGCTGATTGGCGGTCCTCCCGGTGTGGGAAATCCGGGTGCCTGATCAGAATCATATGATCATCTGTAGCGGTGCACATGTATTTTGCGAACAAGATGCTGCTTGATGAAGCGCCCGCTTGCTTTCGGATCCTCTTTGAGGTGTCGAGCGACTAAATCCTCCGTGAGTTCTGGTCCCAGTTCTTCCAGCATGCGCTTTTTCGTCCACCACTGGTACTCGTCCTCGGTGTCGACTGAGTTCGTCGTCCTGTAGCAGGTTCGAAGACATGAGCTTATAAAATTAGGAACCCGGGGTTCAAATGGTTTGGGCTATTTAAAAGCTTCCAGATCGCATTTTTAATCCAAGGATTCCTGAGCCACTGAGCCCGCTGGTGGATGAAAGCAACTACTCCCTGGAGGCTTGGGCATCCAGCTTGGGGCTAAGAACGGTTGGAGGTTTTGGGGTATGGATCGGGTCTCTTAACAAAGCAGCACCTTCGTATTAATGATGTAAAGTAATAGAAGCAGCTAGCAGCTGAAGGAGTAGTAGTTGTAGTAGTAGTTGTAGAAGTAGAAGTAGTAGTAGCGGTAGTAGTAGTAGTAGTAGTAGTAGTAGTAGTAGTAGTAGTGGTAGTAGTAGTAGTAGTAGTAGTAGTAGTAGAACAATAGTAGTGGTTTTAGTCGTAGGGGGTACTCGCATATATATGGTTTATGACTTAGAGTCGTAGCTACTGCAGATATGCAGCTTTAAGGTTGAGATTGATGAACTCGAAGGCTTTGGGGCTATATGTTTAGAGATTCGAGGTTTGAGCCCTACATATACATAAGTATACACTTAGCTACTCACATATCGATATATATATATAATGATACATTTGTATATATGTGTTTTACTATTGTCCTTAATCCCAACCCCGGGCCTCATCTTCACCACAAGTCGGCAATCTCTCCACACGCCCTTGCACGACAAGTAGTGGAGGTACAGCTGGTGCATTTTGCAATGAGACCCCTCAGCGTCGACCCGCTGTCGTGCGATCTCGGGTTCGCAGTTGTCGCCTTAGCTACATATATATATATATATACACATACATATACATACAAACAGTATAAATACATACATAAATACATACATACATACACACACATATACATATACATATACTTATAAATATGCATATACATATACATATACATATGCACATACACATATATACACATATACATACACATACACATACACATACAAATACACATATACACATATACACATACACACATACACACATACATACATACATACATACATACATACATACACACATACATTATTACATGCATGCATACACTGCGAAGAAGGTGCTGCGTACTGAGCGATAAAATCTCATATACAGCGCGTGTGGACTGAGCCACTGTCCACGTCGGTCTTTCCGCCACGAATCTGAATCGCTGCCCTTGTCGTGCTTTGTGGTCGGCTTCTCGTCTGTGGTCGGCTTCTCGTCTGCGGTCGGCTTCTCGTCTGTGGTCGGCTTCTCGTCTGTGGTCGGCTTCTCGTCTGTGGTCGGCTTCTGGTCTGTGGTGGGCTTCTCGTCTGTCGGTTTCTCGTCTGTGGTGGGCTTCTCGTCTGTGGTCGGCTTCTCGTCTGTGGTCGGCTTCTTGTCTGTGGCGGGCTTCTCGTCTTTCGTGTGCGGCTTCTTGTCTGTCGCGGGTGGCTTCTCGTCTGTGGGCGGCTTCTCGTCGACGTCCATGGACGGCTTCTCGTTTGTGGGGGCCGGTGTCTTCGCCGACTTCCTTTCGGCTTCCTCCAAAGCCACGCTTTCCGAGGTGGGCCTGGCTTGCTCCGAAACCGTAGTGGGCGATCGCTTCAGGGCCGTCTCGCAGCTCTGGGAGGCCCCGGAGTAGATGGGGTCCAGCTCTGACGACCAGCCCCGCCTCATCCACCACTGCTTGCCATGGCTATGGCCGCAATCCTCATGCCACGACATTGAGGACTCGCAAGACCAGCTCCGACTCATCCAAGATCTCGGCTGGTGACTGTGCCACCGTCCCTGCCACCACTCCTCGTCGTTCCAATAATCATCTCCCCACTCCTGAGCTTCCCGGCTCTCCTCCGCCGAAGCCACATCATTACCAAGCTGCTCGAAGTCAAACATCTGACTCAAAATTTGCTTTCACCTCCTTTGCCGGCGCCGGGGTGCTCATCACCATAGTCTGCGGTGTGTCTGGCAAGGGGGTCATTGAAACATCTGGCATTGAGTCGAGGCGGCGAACAGCACCTGGGGTGGCCATGACCCTGACATCCTTGGGGGGGCTCACGTCGAGCTGGGTCTCCAGCTCCTCAATCAATTCCTTCGCCTCTTCGTCTGTGATGCCTGCGAGTATTGTGTGTGTGTGGCACTACTGCCAGTACGTATACTAAGTCTATTAGTATAATATATTACTACCACTACCACTACTATACTACTACTAGTACTACTACTACTACTACTACTACTACTACCACTACCACTACCACTACCACTACTACTACTACGACTACTTCTGCTACTACTTCTGGTACTACTGCTACTGCTGCT